TACATAAGTCCAGAAATTTTAGTCAAAAAAATCAAATAAAAAACCTGGCTTATCCTGATTTATCCACAAGCCAATGTGAGTACTTTGCCTTAACTCATATCGAAAAAAGGAAACATCCTTTTCTATGAGTAGAGTGGCAAACGGTGTTTAGTCTGTCCTGGGAGAGATTAAAGGAAGCACTGATTCCCCTCTAGTCTCATTAACCTGCTGTCATTGCTGTCCTTTCTGAATGCCTGGGTGGGAAAATGATGGCAGTGGCCAGGGATAGCTAGCCAACTGAAGCAGTACTGGTGCTTTTCCATTTCTGTGGAATGATCCTTGACTTATTCATAGACAATATCAACATCTATAATTTTGCCTTCAAAACGTGCCCTCAACTTACAGTATAAACATGTTTTGGAATGCTCTGTAAAATATATTCCTTGTATCACATCCGAGAATGCCTTCAGGGCCCAAATAATGTTTGAAAAATGAACTTACATAAGAATGAAGTACAGAGCAAAATACTGCATGCATTTGTATATATGCACACACATATGTATGTGTGTGCCAAACATTCCAGAAAAAGGAGGCTTTTAATGTCAATGTAGTAGATTAGTTTGTAAAGTATGTTTTGAAAATTTGAAAAAATGAAATAACATAATTTAAACGAGAAAGATTAAGTTAAATATAATGGTTTAGAGCACTCTAGCATAAGCAAAACATGAGTATTCAATGAGAGACAGCCTCTGAATTATGTTGACTCTCCTCCTGTAGTTGCAGCTGCCTGTGCTGTGATGCATAATATTCTAGAAAAGTGGGTTTCAGCCAGTAGTGAAATGCATGAAGGCATAATACTTTCTATAGAAATCAGTGTTTACCCTCTGTCTGCTATCTTACATAACACACTACTAACATTTGGATGTATTTATCCTCAGGTCTGAAATCCATCCCTACAGAAATTCACCCTACTCCTTACAATTAATAACCTAGATGAAGACCCGTTATTTCCTGTATATGTCTTCTACTTCAACATATGTTTATTAATCAAAGTTTTCAAAAAAAATAGGCAAACTGAACCTTGAAACCACTTCACTGTGAATAAAGTTTTAAAGCATGAATCAATGAAATAATATTGAAGTAAAACCTAAAGTAGTAAAGTCTAATTTTTGTTCCAAGAGAATAGAAGCCAGATAATCAGGATATAGATTTCCAAAGCAAATATCTAACCTATGATGGTAATTACATACCCATAAAAACAGGACATCACCTTTACCCCCAAAAATTGAGCTAATCTATCCTAGACACAATACTTCTAATTTGGCAACTGCACTAGGGAGTGAACACTTCAGTAAAATGCTTACAAAGCATCTCAGATCAGTAGTAATTACGATTTCCATTACAATTAGCCATATATGAGCTTCTAGACACTAATGCAAGTTATCAGTAGCTCTTAAATGAATTTAAACCTGTATTTTACTGTGTTTTATAACAAAGAACATTTTGAAATTGCTGTACTAATATTTCCTATTTTCAAAAACGTTTTAAACAAGGTAATGACATCCAAGTTAGAAATCAATTGTTATGAGTAACAAGAGGATAGCCAGACACATAAAATAAACTTTTGTTTTGTAACTTAATGTTACAGCTTTACCAATGTAAATATCAACATATAAATTATCCCATAGGCTCTGTACAAATTATAAGTACCTTGATTTCTTTAAAAAACATACCTTTTGATATAAGGATACATAACTGAAGAGAAGATGCAACTAAAATAGTAAGTTCTCTCCCTTCCATACACACACAACAGAAAACAAATGGAAAGTCCCCTGTAATGTTGCTACAAAAATAACAATAATCCACATTTTTGCAAGATTAGTTATTTTTGCAAAAACTAATAAATAATAGTATTTGTTACCTGCTTTTCCTCACAGCTTAAGGAAGGATACACATGGTTGAAACTGACAGATAAAATATAATACTATTAAAAGGAATCCAAAGTGTGGAATTAAAGCAGACTAGCACCACTTTAACTGCCCTGACTGAACAGGATGGAATCATGGGAGTTGTAGTTTGGTGAGACACCAGCTGTCTTTGACAAGCAGGGCTAAAGATCTTCTAAAAATTACAGCTCCCATGATCCCACAGCATTGAGCCACAGCAATTAAAGTGGTGTCGTACTGCATTTACTCTATAATGTAGCAAAACTAAGCGAGCAGCTCACTGATGCCTCTGCCTTGACAGCACCCACAAGTATGGACCATCCATAAGGCAGCTCTACTACAACTGCCATTCAAAATAGATTTTTTTTTTACCTACCTTCTTCTTTAAATGCGTCCTTTTTCTAAAAAACCACTTCACTAAGAACTGTACTTTTCCAGGGAAAAGGGTGGGTTAAGTAACATACTGTGATGAGAGCCACCAGGCAGGCAGAAAGGCTGTGGAAAAGCTCCAGATCAAAGACTGGCAGAGGTGGAGAAAGAAGACAGCCCTCATTTGCCAGAACATTTCAACAGCCAATAAACTGGCCGAGGGGAAAAAAGCGTGAAGAAGTAAACAAGCCGGAAAGAGGGTTACAAAGGCTGCTGAATGTCTAAGGACAATAAGGCTCAGCGGCAACCATAAGGATAATAAGGTGACAACAACCGGGCGTCCAGAAAGGAGGCTGGGAAAAGCAAAGCCGCACCACTCACCTCCTCTGAAAAATAAAATAAAAATCCCAAATATCTCACCTAAGGAAAGAGATCTCATGAGAACATGAAATGACAATGCCTAGGAAATAACAATATAGATATGGGATGTTAGGGAAAACAAAGATACGTCACGCACCTCATTTTAATAAGGGAAAAAACTACTAATAATCCCATCCAAAGAAGGGGATTTTGTGAGCACAGCAAGTTTGTGGTACTTAATAATAATAATAATAATAATAGGATCTGCACGCATTATTCGTTGATACATCACACAGTCCTAGACACTTGGAAAGTATCTGACATGTGATCAAATACAAAAGTCAGCATAGAGATGTTGTTTTCTGTGCACTAATCTTGTTGTGTATCAAATAATAATAATAATAATAATAATGTAATAATAATAAAAGTGTGGGGGATCGAGTAAAGCAAAGCTGCACCACACGCCTCCTTTTAAAAATAAAAAAATCACAATTATCCTACCCAATGAAGAGGATTTCATGAACCCATCAAGTGCACAGTACCTAATAAATAAATAAATAAATAATACAGGTGTGGGGGATTGAGAAAACCAAAGCTGTGTCACACATTTCCTTTGAAAAATCAAAAATCACAATTATCCTACCCAATAAAGAGGTACTCATGAACCCATCAAGTGGATGGTACCTAATAAATAAATAATAATATAGGTGTGGGGGGACTCAGAAAAGCAAAGCTGCGCCACACACTTCCTTTGAAAAATCAAAAATCACTATTATCCTATCCATTGAAGAGGATTTCACGAAACCATCAAGATGTTTTGGACTACAACTCCCACAATTCCTAACAGGCCTTTTCCATCAAGTGACCGGTACCTAATCAATAAATAAGTAAATAAATAAATAATACAGATGTGGAGGGGGGCTGAGAAAAACAAAGCTGCACCACACACTTCCGTTGAAAAATAAAACCAATCACAGTTATCCTACCTAATGAAAGGAATACCATGAAAGCATCAAGTGTATGGTTCCTAGTAGTAATAATAATCTATATAAATAAAAATGTAATGTTCCTTTGTGGGATTAACATAACTCAAAAACCACTGGACGAATTGACACCAAATTTGGACACAATACACCTATCAGGCCAACGAATGACCACCACTCATAAAAACACTGAAAAACACAGCACATAAGTCTATAAAAGCCAAAAAACAAAAACACATTACAAAAAACAAAAACACATTATGTGCACACAGAAAACACATATACAAAGAAAGGAGGAAGGAGAGAAGGAAGGAAGGAAAGAAAGGTAGAGAAGGAAGGATGGAGAGAAGGAAATAAAAAGTGAAAGAAGGAAGGAAAGAGAGGGAAGAAAGGAAAGAAGGAAGGAAAGAGGGAGGGAACGAAGGAAGGAAAAAGACAAGAAAGGATGGAACCAAAGAGTTAAGGAAGTGAGGAAAGAAACAGGTGGAGAAGGAAGAAAGAAGAAGGGAAAGAAAAAGAGGGAAGGAGAGAAAGAGGGAGGGAAGGTTGGCCACAGCAACGCGTGGCGGGTACAGCTAGTCGAAATAATAATATGCAGGTGTGGAGAGGTTTTCTCTTCACAACTGGCAGATTAAAGGGCGCGAGGTGACTCTGTTCACGCCACACACCCCTCAACAACAACAACAACAACAACAACACGAGCTCCAAAGAGGGAAATGTGGCACTTCCTCCCCCTAATTAAAGCAGCCTGTGTAATATTTGTTTGGGGATATGTACACCAGCCAGGGGCAAACTTGGGCCCTCCAGGTGTTTTGGACTACAACTCCCACAATTCCTCACAGCCTCAGGCCCTTCAGGGGCAAACTTGGGCCCTTCCGGTGTTTTGGACTACAACTCCCACAATTCCTCACAGCCTCAGGCCCTTCAGGGGCAAACTTGGGCCCTCCAGGTGTTTTGGACTACAACTCCCACAATTGCTCACAGCCTCAGGCCTTTCAGGCCCCTGAAAGGCCTGAGGCTGTGAGGAATTGTGGGAGTTGTAGTCCAAAACACCTGGAGGGCCCAAGTTTGCCCCTGCCTGAAATACACTACCCATAGGCATATATATACATATCTATAGCTATGCATAGGCACCTGCCTCCTCAAGGAAAAAAACTTTTAGTGCCAGGAAGTTCCTGAGTGCTGAAGGGTGTGTTCGCGGCCTCTCTGTCCCTCCTTGGCCGGCGTCTGTGAAGAACCACAACAACTCCCCACAACAACACTCTTGGCCAGCCACTACCTCCACCCCCACGCCGCTTCTTTTATATTATTTCCCGCCCGACCATTCCCGTCCCGACTCCGGCCTCCCTCAGGTGGGACACACTTGCCTCAGCTCCGACGCTTTCGCCACGCCAGGCGCTTCCCCCCATCCCGACCGCGACTCCGGCAAAGAGGAGGAGAAGGAGGAGGAGGAGGGAATGCCTTCTGGCCCCGCCCACCTCCGCGAGACAGCCCCGCCCCCTTTTTTCCCCCTCGGCGCGCGCACTGACAGTTCAGGAAGGAAGGGGATTGGAGGAAGGAGGCGTCGGTTGGTCTCGCGCTCTGGCTATAGCTGGAGAAAAGGAGAGGGAGGGCGCGCGCGCGCTCTCTCTCCAGTCAAACAACACACCGGTCGAGTTGCTGCGCATGCGCGGGAAAGAGAATGCGAGAGTCAGACTGACTCTAGCATTCTCTTCCCCGCGCATGCGCAGCAACTTGACTGGTGTGTTGTTTGACTGGAGAGGAGGAGGAGGAGGGGGGGGGAAGGGGAGTAAGTTTCACTCCGCCGTCTCGAGCCGAGCTGGCTGTTACTGATTCGGATGACTTCAGACGCCCCGGAGGTGACGGCGACTCATGATTGGAGGACACAGGAAACAGACGTGGGCAGGGATTGGGGGTGACGTCATCGCCGGAGGAGCCAATCCGAACGCGGAACTTTTGCTTCCTTTCCCCCCCCCCTTCCTTATCTTAAAGCAAACGCTTCAGCTTGGAGCCCCCGGTGGCGCAGTGGGTTAAACCCCTGTGCCGGCAGAACTTGAAGACCGATAAGATCGCAGGTTCGAATCCGGGGAAGAGGCGGATGAGCTCCATCTATCACAGTGTTTCTCAACCTGGGGATCGGGACCCCTGGGGGGGTCGCGAGGGGGTGTCAGATAGAGGAGTCACCAAAGACCACCAGAAAACACAGTATTTTCTGTTGGTCATGGAGGTTCCGTGTGAGAAGTTTGGCCCAATTCAATCGTTGGTAGGGTTCAGAATGCTCATTGATTGTAGGTGAACTATAAATCCCAGCAACTACAACTCCCAAATGTCAAGGTCTATTTTCCCCAAACTCCACCAGTGTTTACATTTGGGCATATTGAGAATTCTTGCCAAGTTTGGTCCAGATCCATCATTGTTTGAGTCCACAGTGCTCTCTGGATGTAGGTGAACTACAACTTCAAAACTCAAGGTCAATGCCCACCAAACCTTTCCAGTATTTTCAGTTGGTCATGGGAGTTCTGTGTGCAAAGTTTGATTCAATTCCATCGTTGGTGGAGTTCGGAATGCTCTTTGATTGAAGGTGAACTATAAATCCCAGCAACTACAACTCCCACAGGACAAAATCAATATCCTCCCCGCAATCCCACCAGTATTCAAATTTGGGCGTATTGGGTATTTGTGCCAAATTTGGTCCAGTGAATGAAAATACATCCTGCATATCAGATATCTACATTACTATTCATAACAGCAGCAAAATGACAGTTATTTATGATTTATGATTTATTTACTTTATTTGTATACTGCTCTTCCCAGCCCTTAGGCAACTCAGAGCGGTTTACAACAATTTCGGTATACACAATACAAAATCATTAGGCATTTAAAAGCAATAGCATCACAAATCATTAGACATCAGCATCAATACAACAGTACATCAATATAACAAATCCATCAGGTCTCATCAATGAAATCAGAATCCGAACTCGTTATCCATTATTCCGTGTTCCAATAATCAGTCAATCAATCACACTGCTTAGTCGAATGCCTGTTCAAACAGCCAGGTCTTTACTTTCCTCCGGAATGCCAGCAAGGAGGGGGTCAATCTGATATCTGCAGGAAGGGCGTTCCACAGCTGAGGGGCCACCACTGAGAAGGTTATGAAGTAGCAATGGACCTAATTTTATGGTTGGGAGTCACCATAACATGAGGAAGCGTATTAAGGGGTCGTGGCATTAGGAAGATTGAGAACCACTGATCTAGAGCAAAGAGTTGAGGGCTTCTTCAAAACCTCCATGGGACAGAACAGATGGAGTTACTTGGCTGTTTTCTTGAACTAGATGTCCTGCTGTTTGACCTCCTCTGAATAAATCTTATCAAGTCAACCTTGCAATAGATGTGTTAGACTGGCCATACAACAAACATTGAATGCTAATCAAGGTGGTCAATTACAACATTCACATTTGCCTCAAGCAGACAAGAGGTTTATATATCTGTGGAGTGTCCAGGGTGGAGAAAGAACTCTTGTCTGTTCGAGGCAAGTATAATTGTTGCAATTGGCCATCTTGATTATCGTTGAATATTTTTGCAGCTTCAAACACTGGCTGCTTCCTGCCTGGGGGATCCTTTGTTGGGAGGTGTTAGCTGGCTCTGATTGTTTCCTGTCTAGAATTCCCTTGCTTTTTGGGGTGTTCCTCATTTACTTTCCTGATTTTAAAGTTGTTTTTTTAAAATAGACTGGTAGCCAGATTTTGTTCATTTTCATGGTTTCCTCCCTTCTGTTGAAATTGTCCACACCTCCCAATAAAGGATTCTGCCAGGCAGGAAGCAGCCAAGCTTTGAAGCTGCAAGGCCATTCAATGCTAATCAAGGTGGCCAATTGCAACATTCACACTGCCTCAAGCAAACTAAAGCTTTATATATATGTGGAGTGTCCAGGGTGGGAGAAAGAAATCTGGTCTGATTTGTTGGGAGGTGTTAACTTGCCCTGATTGTTTCCTGTCAGGAATCCCCCTTTTTTGTGGGGAGGGGGTGTTTCTTGTTACTTTCCTGATTTTAGAGTTTTTTAAAAAAATACTGGTACCCAGATTTTGTTCATTTTCATGGATTCCTCCGTTCTGTTGAAATTATCCACACCTCCCAACAAAGGATTCCTCCAGGCAGGAAGCAGCCAGGCTTTGAAGCTGCAAGGCCATTCAATGCTATTGTTCATTATTTGCGTTTTAGGTTTTATTTTATGTAATTGTTGTTTTGGGCTTGGCCTCATGTAAACTGCACCGAGTCCCCATCGGGGAGATGGTGGTGGGGTACACGTCACGGTGACATCGTTTTACTGTTTCATTGTTTTGCTTGATGTTTATTATTTGCTTATGAGTTTTATTGTTTACTAGCTTGGGGACCCGGCGCTGCC